GTATGTTGAAGGAATGGTTGGAGGCCCCTGTCCCAAACTAAAGCTTTGGCAGCTGGTTAGGAAGGTTGGTGTGCTGCCCTGTTTCTAGTTCCTTGCGCTGAGTAGCTCTATGCCACTTAGGTTTTGTTTACCAGCATCTCTGGAAGTGCAATGCAACCTCTGCCAGTATGTTCAGAAAACCACAGCTGCATATGATTTAATTTTAGCTTGATTATTTTATTAGAGATGTGAATAGATGAGAGAGAGGTTTACTAAAGTCCCTGTGTCCTTTGTCTAAAGCAGATAGTTGATAAACAAATTGTTTGGTTGAAGATGATTGTCATTGCTTAGGCTTGTCTATGTGGCGCTGTAAATCCTTTGTTGTGTTTTTACCCAGTGTGGTCCTAGCTAGTATTTCTGGACTTTTCCATGCCTGTTTTCAATAGAAACACTTCTATTTAAATTGAAAGGAAAGGCTAGGTATTTATTTTTAGTTTTCTGTAACAGATATAATCCTGTAAGGGGTTGAGCATTTTGACTTGATACGGAGGGCACTAGTGGAGGAGGATTCTTTGTGTTCACAAACTTATTCAAGTTCCCAGCAGCATCAGGCCCTGCTCGACCAGGATGTGTAGAACATTGTTTGTTCCTTTTTTACATTCAGATTAAAATGTTTCCTAATTCTGGCATTCTTTCTTTTTTGTTGTTGTTGTTGTTTTGGATTTTATGTGGCTGGTTTTGGTGGGTTTTGGGTGGTGTTTTGTTTTGTTTGGGATTTGTTCTTAATTCGCAAATCTGAATATGTAAGTGGATTTCTGCCATATGGAATTGTTGTTTGTGAAATTGATGAAGTACTATGCATTAAATTTTATATTTTCAGGCTAAGTGCACAAAATTAGAAATGGAGAAAAATGGTCAAATACTTGGTACAAAGGAATTGAAGAATTATGGAGGTGGGGTGTATAGCAGGGCTTTCAGGACAAGGAAAAATAGTTACTGCTAAAAAAGCCTATACTGCCTGTCTATATAATGTATGAAATTTATCTTAAAAGCTATTCTCTGATAAGCACATACCTGTACTTAAAGAACAGAACCCTTTCCTTTTGCCTTTTACAGCCCATACCAGCACAGTTTACACAGTTCAAAAATGTCCATAGCTCAGAGGATTCCTAAATTAGCAAAGATTTTTATGAAAAATACATTCAGCCTTGCATTGCTTCTGGATTTTCAGTATGTTATCAAGCAAGTACACTATCTGCAGGCTCATGGCATATGTCAGAGTTTAAATTACAATTAAAAAAAATAAAATAAATTAAGCAACCTCTAAATATGCCCTTATTTACCTGATCTTAAATGTTTGTATCAGCTCAAGAAAAAAACAACTAATAAAATACCATTTAAAAGATGGAGAGGAAGTGGTTGCAAACATTAGGCAATTGGAGGTGGGGGAAGTGTTTGCATAATTAAAAGAAACTACAACTTTTTTTTTTTTCTCCCAAATCAGACATTTGACTTTGCCAAACAATTATTGAACTATTAGGAAACAGAGTCAAACCTAGCCAAACTTTGCTGCATTTTCAAATAATATCAAATTGAGGAAATGGCTCTTCCCTCTGCCCCCAATCCAGACCATTCCAGTGGACTTCATGTAAATACAGATTTCTTCACTGCTTACTAATGCAAAAAATATGCTTATGGTTAACTATTAACCTATGCTTCCAAATAACACTAATGATTGCAATGTGCTGGAATAAATGCTCATGTTTCATAGGATGAGAACAGTCCTGTTCTCTTAAGCTTATTTAATCAAAGCCTAATCCTGCCTTTACAGCCTTTGTTAAATGCACTGGTATTTAATATGCATCAATAAATAAACTTTCAATTATTGTGCAGTGAGCATGTCCAAAGATAGCATGACAATGTGAAACTACTGGCCTAGCTAGCAATTATTCCAAATAAAGAATGCTGATGCTGTGATTTCCCTCCTTCCTTTTATAATGGATAATTCAGGTTTTCTGACATTCTTTTGCAGCCTCATAATAAGGAATAAAAAATAATCTTGACCAATAAAATTCAAAGAATTGAATTTTTACACCACCTAAATGCATCTCCCCACTGTGACTGAAAATAAAATTATTTAATTTTAAAAGCAAGTGATCCATTCTAAACAAAAAGACCAATTGATTAAATTTTTAAAGTATTTATGAAATGTTTTTTGAAAAGCTTGGAAATAGGAGGCGCAAGATATATGTTGTTGTGCTCTGACCTACTGCATTATCTATCTCTTTAAATTGAATGGTCTTCCTTCTACAAGCTGTTAAAGACAACGTGCCACAAGCATATTCATTAACTACAGTACAAGCACCAGCCGGGCCAGATTCTCTGTTCTATCCGTGCCTATTTTCCCTTCTTTTTCACAAGTTTCACTGCTGCTTTAGTGCATTCTTTTCAGTCTTTCTCATGGCATTTGTTAGTATCTGGTGAATCATCAAGCTACTCAAGTTCTTCTGCGTCTCTCTAACAAAATCTTTTGAGTATTTTGGTAACCTTATAAGACAAATATTGCAGAACACGGAGTTTGTTGGTTTGTTTCATTTGTTTGGCTTTTTCTTTTTTTTTTTTTTTTTTTTTAAAATAGTGGTAATGAACTTGTATGTCACTTGGGCAGTACTGTATTACAGGAATATTAATATTCTTTCCTTTCATAAAAGGTTGAAGTAAGTCTCAGGATGCTAGAAGAATTTTAGGTACTGATTACTTGCAATTGGCTCCTTGTGATTTGCTCCTCAGATTTCTGGCTGCATTTGATAAAGTATGACTTCTGAAAAGCTTCTGATACTTTTTCATTAAAATTGCATATTTTTTTTTTTTATGAGCATGATTTCTATGATTTCACCCAATTTCATGAGCTATTTACCACCTCTGAAAGGCAGCGGTTTAAACATCAGAAATAATAAGCAAAAAAGATTATATTAGTACTAAATGAAAGAAATAAATCTTCCAAAAACTCAGTCTCAAGGCTGCATTTGTCAAAAGCACTTCCCTGAATTAACTTTTATAGGATAACTGTGTAATTGTTAACGGACATTTTTCTCGAGTTGTCAAAGTGTTGGAAAAATGAGAAAGAAAATGCTCAGGGAAAAAAAATCCACAAGTAATCAATGGCAAGCTCACGTGGACTGAGATTTGCCGTACTTGTACTAATAAAATATAAGGCTCCATCAGAGGTACTTTGCAGCGTTCAGGCTAAATTTAAATGATTTGGCGATTTGCAAATACGTGAATCCAAAAATAAAAATGAAGAATCCAAATGCAAATGAGTGCAACGGCAATAAAATATAATTGCAAATGAATCTGTTGCTTTATTCATTTATTGTGTAATTACTGCAATCCTTCCCACCTTGTTTTCAGTATTTCTTAATCATTAAGTCGGAAGCATGACAGCAGTGCCAGCCCTGGCATGATTCTCTTTGACTAAAACCTTGTAAATTAACACAATTAGCACAGCATCATCCTGCTAATTAACTTCCAGTGTCTGGTGCAGTGGTTTTGCAAACAAGGAAGAGGGAGTCAGAAGGGAATAAACATGCCATTCTGTTACCAAACTGTGTGCTGTGTTAGGTTTAGCTCAGCGAGGCTAAGCTGGCCATGTCAGATGCCAGAGTCAGGCAATGAAGAGCTAAAGGGGTTGGGGAGAAAAACAGGAGGGGGTAGAAGCTGTCAAAATAGACTGCAGTAATTCAGAAGGGAGCTGGTGCCACAGATGCTTCATTTCGACTAGGCCTCCTCCTTATCAGGGAATCTGTGCCAGAGGGCACAAGACTGTTTGCAAAAATCACTTTTGGTAATATGAGAGAGATTAAGGAGGTCTATTTGATACAGCTGTACAAAAATCAGCAATGTGTCTACCATGCATAGGTACAAGTTGGAGGGGGTTATCTTAACACTTGTAAATGGCACTTACTGCGCATGGTGGATTACGAGGAGGAGTGATAATTCCCATCACATTATTTACAAGACTAATTACTTTAAAATGACATTTGCATTTTTTCTTTTTTTTTTCCTTTTTTATTTTTTATTTTTTTTTTTATTCAAGGTGGGGGTTAGAGCCGGCTGTGGAAGCCACAGAACTTTTAGGGACTTGGCTTCATTTCTTTTCCTTTTTTTCCTCAGTCTTTTTTTCTTTTCTTCCCCCCCCCTTTTTTTTTTTACCCTCTTTCTTTGTACCCTGGAGGCTGTGAGGCGGAGGGGGGGCGGGGGGGAGGGAGAGAGAGCAAGCAAGGAGGCCGACAGACAAGTCATGCTTGGTTTTTTTTCCAGAGCCTCAACAACAGAACTGAGAGGCAGAAAGGAGCCAGTTGTAATTCATACCGAGTTGTAGGCTTTGTGTGATGAAAGCGACGGAGCGCTGCCTGGGAGATTGCTTTGCTGCACTCCACGAAGCAGATTTGAAACTGTCGTGGACCACTTTAGATGAGAGTTGGATTATGGAATGACCTGCTATGTCTGTGTCATATTGTTCTGCGCAGGGTGCATTATACTGTGCTAACTAGGTGTTCAGTACCAAATAAGAGAGGTATCCTAGATGTGATCTGTCAGCTGTGTCTCATATTTTTATATTGGTTAAAATATAAAACTGAAACAGCGATGAGAGAGGACAGAGCAGCTGGATGCCTTGTATGTTAACAATAAATCTGCACTCAGGGTATTTAAAACATACTGAGTTTTATTTAATTACTTTGAGAAATCTAGCATTATCTATTTTTTTTAATAACCCCCCACTGAATCATCAAAAGATGTGGCTACATGTGTATGTGCCTACAATGAACCAAGCAGTTTATGCTGCTTCATAAAGGCGCTGAGTTTTCTTTCCTTAAGGATTTGTGGTGTTAAGTACAGTCTTTCAGAGAGCTGAAGAAGTTCCTAGGCAGTACATTTGAGAACTCGTTTAAAAGCATCTAAAAAAAGCCAAGCTTTGCTGTTAACTTTGGGTTTTTTTCCCTGCCACCCTAGGCTTGAAGATGCAGTGGACGCCAGAGCATGCCCAGTGGCCAGAACAGCACTTTGATATCACTTCAACCACCCGGTCCCCTGCCCACAAGGTGGAAGCCTACCGGGGGCACCTACAGCGCACCTACCAATATGCCTGGGCCAACGACGACATCTCGGCTCTGACCGCCTCCAATCTTCTGAAAAAGTATGCAGAAAAATACTCTGGTATTTTGGAAGGCCCGGCCGAGCGGCCCATTCTCGGCAATTACTCCGAAGCTCCCTCGGGGCTGGTGAACGGTCGGAAGAATGAAAGTGAGCCCTGGCAGCCGTCGCTCAACTCAGAGAGCGTGTATCCCATGAACTGCGTCCCAGACGTTATCACGGCCAGCAAAGCTGGGGTAAGTGCAGCCCTCCCTCCCGCAGATGTCTCGGCCAGCATTGGGAGCTCTCCTGGGGTGGCCAGTAACCTGGCTGAACCCAGTTACTCCAGCAGCACCTGCGGAAGTCACACTGTTCCCAGTCTTCATTCAGGGCTCCCATCTCAGGAATATGCCGCAGGATACAATGGCTCATACTTGCATACCAGTTACAGCGGCCAGCCAGCACCTGCACTTCCATCCCCTCATCCGTCCCCGCTGCATAGCTCGGGACTTTTACAGCCCCCTCCACCACCGCCACCACCAGCCCTCGTCCCTGGCTACAATGGGACCACTAACCTCTCCAGTTACAGCTACCCTTCTGCCAGTTATCCTCCTCAAACTGCTGTTGGCCCTGGGTACAGCCCTGGGGGTGCCCCGCCGCCCTCGGCGTACCTGCCTTCAGGAATCCCTGCTCCGACCCCTCTGCCCCCAACCACCGTCCCTAGCTACTCCTACCAGGGCCACGGTCTGACACCCATCGCACCGTCTGCCCTGACAAACAGTTCAGCCAGCTCTCTCAAAAGGAAAGCTTTCTACATGGCAGGGCAAGGAGAAATGGACTCCAGTTATGGAAATTACAGCTATGGCCAACAGAGATCTACACAGAGTCCCATGTATCGAATGCCCGACAACAGCATTTCAAATGCAAACAGGGGGAATGGTTTTGACAGAAGTGCTGAAACATCATCCTTAGCATTTAAGCCAACAAAGCAGCTAATGTCCTCTGAACAGCAAAGGAAATTCAGCAGCCAGTCCAGTAGGGCGTTAACACCCCCATCCTATAGTACTGCTAAAAACTCACTGGGTTCGAGATCAAGTGACTCATTTGGGAAGTATACCTCCCCAGTAATGAATGAGCACGGTGATGAGCACAGGCAGCTCCTCCCTCACCCAATGCAAGGCCCGGGACTTCGTGCAGCTACCTCATCCAACCACTCTGTGGACGAGCAACTGAAGAATACTGACACACACCTCATTGACCTTGTTACCAACGAGATTATCAACCAAGGACCTCCCGTGGACTGGAGTGACATCGCTGGCCTAGATCTAGTAAAGGCCGTCATTAAGGAGGAGGTTTTATGGCCAGTATTGAGGTCAGATGCATTCAATGGACTGACTGCTCTACCTCGGAGCATCCTTTTATTTGGACCTCGGGGAACAGGCAAAACATTAATGGGCAGATGTATAGCTAGTCAGCTGGGGGCCACGTTTTTCAAAATCACTGGCTCTGGCCTTGTCACAAAGTGGTTAGGGGAAGGAGAAAAAATTGTCCATGCCTCCTTCCTCGTTGCAAGGTGTCGCCAACCCTCGGTGATTTTTGTTAGTGACATTGATATGCTCCTTTCCTCTCAAGTGAGTGAAGAACACAGCCCAGTAAGTCGGATGAGAACCGAGTTCCTTATGCAGCTGGACACTGTACTGACTTCTGCTGAGGACCAAATAGTAGTAATCTGCGCCACGAGTAAACCGGAAGAAATTGATGAATCTCTTCGAAGGTACTTCATGAAACGACTTTTAATCCCACTTCCTGACAGCACAGCGAGACACCAGATAATAGTACAACTGCTCTCACAGCACAATTACTGTCTCAATGACAAGGAGGTTGCACTGCTTGTCCAGCGCACAGAAGGCTTTTCTGGACTAGATGTGGCTCACTTGTGTCAGGAAGCCGTGGTAGGCCCACTCCACGCCATGCCAGCCACAGACCTTTCAGCCATTATGCCCAGCCAGTTGAGGCCAGTTACATATCAAGACTTTGAAAATGCTTTCTGCAAGATACAGCCTAGCATATCTCAAAAAGAGCTTGATACATATGTTGAATGGAACAAAATGTTTGGTTGCAGTCAGTGATACTACTTAAAAAAAGTGTAATGAATGTTGGCACACACAGAACCTGCTACATAGGGTAGAGAACCCTTTTCAGTGGTGTTAAAATTGCAAAGGGTACTGGGAAGACTACAATTTACCTTGCCTCTAAAGAGCCAGGGTATACTTGAAGGAAAAGTGCATCAAACAAGAGCTGCTGATCTGAAAAAGCCACACATGACAGAAAGCGCATGTTGATGCTCAGTTCTGTTCAAGCTAGACAATACTCACCAAGGAGCAAGGTGCAAGTGGGTTGATTTCAGAAGGACATGAACCCTGTGTGTTGATTCCATTCTGCTGTTCTTGAGATTTAGTTGCTGTCAAGTGCCTGAAGTGGTGCTTTATTTTTTGTTTGCCTCACAATTACATTGGTGGCATGTGCTAATATAAAGAGCTTTAACTTCAAACATTATTGGACTAAAGAGATGAACGGTTGTGTTGCGACAGAGAACCAGATTTTTGCTATTCTAAGAGCAACAGTATTCCTCAATCCTGTCTGTTCTGCAGTGTTAAACTAAGAACAGGTAAAACAGGGTAATGGTAATCTGGACCTTAATTTCTGCAGTTCATTTCTTTTAATGTTCTGTCTGCAAAAACTCAGGAAAGTGATTGTGATTTGTACAGTACCTCAAAGGAATGTGTTGAAAGCACTATGTACTGCTGAGAGTTATAGGCTAGGCTTCAATGTTACTTTATATTAAATATGTATGTTTACCTCAACAATTGGAAAATGGCAAGGAAAATTACTTTGAATGTATCCAGGAAAAAACTAAAGTGTGATATGACTGAAGCTTTACAGTTTTTAGAAATAGAAACAGAAGTATTTCCCAGAGTTCAGAAATGGTTCTTTTGCAAATTTGTCAGATCAAACCAGAGCAGAACAATTTTTCTTGTCAGTAAACTGTAAGAGTTTTCAGCATATTGCTCCTTGATAATTACGTGATACAGTCTTTAGAAGGTGCATAGATGAAAAAAGAGCCACTTAATTGGTTTACATTAGCATCCAAAACAGTCAAATGTAAAATTTGGTAGGACTCCAAGAGGCAAATTACCTTAAGCTGTGACTGCTGGCCTTTGTTGCGCAGCATTAGTCGTAGTTTTGAGGTTACTTTGGTGAAGTTGTAGGGAGTGGGATCAGTGTAGGTTGCTGGCAGAGCTATGGGTTGCAGAGCTGTTTATAGCAACGCAGTGGACTGTGACCAAACAAACAGTACAAATAACAAAGCAAAACTGAACCCTCAAAGTACATTTATTTCCCTTCCCAAACTGTAAAGTTGAGTTTTTGTTGTGTATGTATGGCTCCATTGTTCTTAATGCAATCTTCATTTGGCATCCATTAGAAATCTTCCAGGCTGGAGTGTGCCCACCATTATTTCTACCTCAGTTTTGTTACGTTTCTCTTGGAAAGCAAAGTAAGAAATAGGGCAAAAAACAACACCAACACAAAAGTCAGATTACATTAGGAATGCAAACCTGCTAAACAAGTTTCAGAGAGCTGCTGTTTTTTCCCCTGAAGATAAGTTTTTCGCTTTGTTAGTGCTCTTTACTTCCCACCCTCCCACCCCCTTTTTCTTTTCCTCCCCCAAATATACATATTCTGGTGTCTTCCTTGTGGAAAGACTAGCTGGCATGTGTGGCATTTGCTCAGTTCTCCCCCACACCCCCACCTTTCTTTTTATCCATTAATGCTTTCCGTGCAACTCTTTTGGTGACAGCTGACTGATGTTGGGTAATGTCTCTGAGCAGGAGCAGTGCATGTTGCAGCTGCCCAAAGCCTCTGCCATCACATGAACAAAACAGCCTCGCTTTTTTGAATGTATTTTTTTGTTTGTTTACTTTAAAGAGACAGTAACAAAACTGTTGCAAAGCACTGGCATTTAATGTTTCTGTTAAGTAATGTACATTCAAAACCATTAAATAAATGCACTGAAAAGCCCCAAGAAGAGAGATACCAATCTGTTGCTAGGTCATGTTTGTCTTCTCAAAAATTGTACAGACTTTGTCCATTTTGTTAAATTGATGGAGACATTTAGCATTCAGAAAGCTAATGAGGGATTTTGTGATATTGCTGGAAATTTATGACTCTTGCTTATTACTTTCCTTTATTTTTCTTTTAAGAAATATATATATATTTAGATAGAACGTGCTAAAAACAGAGCAAATAAACCAAAATCTAATTTAAGATGGATTCCTGGCAAACATTTTGTCTATCTAAAACTTTGTTTTAAGCGTAAAAGTACCATTTTAAAAACAGTGCCTTTCATTAAGGATATAGAAAGTAAGATTTAAGTACATCACCTGCTTTGCTTTTCTTTCTATTTTCTTTTTTTTTTTTTCCTTTTTCTTTTCAACAGCAGTTACAGTCTATGATCCTTGTTATGACCCAGTCTTTCTGCTTCCCAAATCTCCACAGGCTGCTTCTTCACCCAGGTCATTCCACCATCCTCATATTTGGGAGATCCTGATGTCCCCATTAGCTGTAGGCTCACGCTGATCACACTGGCAAGTACGCTACTGCAGATTGCTGACCCAATTTCTGTCTTAGGCATTGCCTTTCATATCTGCCATTGAGCTGTGCTCATTTGAAAGGCTTGGGCAAGTTTTGATAAACCAACTGTTGTTCACTGTTTCTCCTAACCATATTCCTAACAGATTTTTTTGCAGCTAGTAAAATGAAACCTACCCACTAGAGTGGTTTTTTCCCCTCTTTTTATCCAGTAGCAAACCCAAAAGCAAGAAAAATTGTAGCTGGTCCCTTTGGCTTCCAGCTTTAAAGCATTGTCTTTAAAAAGTCACTCTGGGAAATGGATTTTTCAAATGTTAACCAAAGTGAGAAGCTGGCAGAAACTGAGATGGTGTGAAAATGCATGTTCCACACACATGCACACACTCACAGTCATTCTCTCCAGGGCTCGATCCTACTTTGGGGCAACAGAAGCGGAAAGCTTCACCCCTATCACAGCAACTGTAAGGAGAAGAAAACAGAGCCGTATTGTTAACCAAATCTTTCCTTACCAGCTGTCCTGGTATTGCTTTGTGAGGGTGCCTATTGAATTTAGTGAGAGCTTGGCCAGGTAGTGTTAACAGGACATGCCTCAGCCCTTCTCCAAGTCCTTTGATGTACTTTCCACCAGGGCTGAAGCCCCTGCCATGTCCTGTCCTTATTGCTTTCCTTCCTCCTCCCACATTCAGCCCATTTTCTCCCTAGTGAGCAGATTTGGGCAGGCTGCTGGTCCTTCACCCCTCTCAGCAGCCTTCTTGCCAAGGAGTGTCCAGGAAGAGCCGGAGCACGATCCTGAACTTGAGTGGGTTCCAAAGGTTAGGACTGGTTTTGAAAAGAGAGACAAAATATGTTCTAATGGTGTCTTCAGGATTAAATGTTTGCTGGTCTTTGGCATTTCTGTGGTAGAAAGCCATTTGCTTTGCCCAGCTGTCTGGGCAAAGATGGGGCCTGCTGCCATAGATATGCCAAAGTGGTGGGCTGGGGCTTCCCGGTCACTGGCACTGCCCTGGCCAGGAAGCCAGGAACCTGACATGGCAATGTCAAAGGATTTTAAGGAACCTGAAATGGTTAAAGAGCTTCTGCTATGTCAGCCTATCACTGCAGATGCTTTACATTGTATTTTTATGTGTGGATCCCACTCTGTAACAGCCCAGCTCATTTTCTTCCTTGTACCTTCAGTAATAATTCCTATTGCAACAAAAGTGAAATAAATTGGAGGAATATTTCTGCAAGCTGAAGGATCAGTATCAGTTCAAGGAGGAGTTCATAATGACCTTATATGAAACAGAAATGGAAATACTCTAGACTTCTGGCATGTTTCTCTCCAAAATATTTAGAACATTAGTGATAGTATAGAAAAATTTGCTGAGCTAATCAATGGAATGTGAAGGCAGTTTACTTTAAGGCTGTTTACTTTCACACAGATTATTTATCTATTGGTCAGTCTGTATTCTACTCAAATGCAGGTAGACGGGCAAAATGTCGTCTTGAGCATTACAAACCTACCAAGGGGAAAATCAACCATCTGACTAAACTGCATCGGCCAAACCATCTGGATGTCCTTACCAGCTATTTGGAGGCTGTGCTCTGTAAAATGGTACAAGGTCATTTTAGGTGTTTTTTTTTACCATGTTTCTGTAGGGGATCGTCTAGTCATAAAGATCCAAATTGTATCCTGTGTCAAGATGTTAATATATTGAAAGCAAATTTGGGGATCTGACCAGGGTTTTCAGTGTCTGCAAATACATACAATATCAGACAAAGGGCAGTTCTTACAATCACCCTGCTTTTTCCTCTGAAGCACTCCATCATCACAAAGGAGAATGCATTACTCAGATCTGAAGGATACACTTTGTCACAAAACAAGGCCGCCAAAAGTTGTAGGGCCTCCTACCCTTTCACTTACACCAATCTGAAGGTGGTATTACCTTGTTGACTTAAAGGAATTACTCCCAATTTCTGCCCTTGTTAGAAAAGTTATTGCTCCAATGTATAATAATCTATGTCTGTTGGTTTTCATCATCAGCTCTGAAAGCTAACCTTGTCCTCACAGCACTAACTTCTTTCCATCTTGTATGTGTGCATGTGTGTATATAATATTTATATGTGCATACACACCATGTCCAAACAATAGCTTTGTCTCTTTACTTAAAAAAAAAAAAAAAAAAAAAAAAAAAAAGTCGTTTAATCATCTGCAGATTTATATGAAGCACATTAGTAAACATGGAGATACTAGTATTTCAGAATTCAAAAAAAGCCCAGCTGTGCTGGTGACTAACCAATACATGAACTGAAGCTCACACTCTGCAAGGACCTTTGGTTGACATTCGATTTTGAACCTGCCAGATGCATTTTTGTGAACCAGGGATACTGCATCTTTAATGAACAAGTCTCTACTCT